TGGAACGCACAATATGGCACCCAGATCGACATCAATATGATCCAGCCGGTGCGGCTGATTTGCTGCCGCGTCACCGCCCAGCCCTTGGCCAGCAGCAATAGAATCAACATGAATGTGGTGCGGCTGAGTATGTCCAGAACATCGCCAGCCGCCTGCATATTGGGTTCTCCGACCCCATTGGCCGCATATCGAATCAGATGTGCCGTAATCAAAGCCAAGCTCACAAATTCACTGACCAGGCTGAGCGTGAACAGCTTGGTCACCGGATGCTTCTGGCGACGCACAGCATAGATTTGCATGGGCAGCAGCACAATGTAGACCAACATAAAGATGAGATACATTTCCAGCAGATTCTGCTGATCGTACGGATACTGATAGGTCAGCGGATGTGCGGCCGAGTTATTCGGATGCACATTCACCAAGTTGATGTCGTACTGCAGAGTAGTGAGCAGGCTGCTGCTCTGATTGCTCAGACGGGCGAAGTTCTCGTGGGCATGCCACTCACACGTGCTGCGATTGCGATAACATGCCACCAATGCCACATACCAAAAGCTGCAAAAGAGAGAGAGAGAGAGAGAGAGAGAGGACATTGAGACAAGCAATGGGAAATTCGATATACTTTCAAGTGCTGATTAAAATGAATCAGCAATCTCACTCTTTGTGTTTTATAGATAAATAAATAACAAACTGAAACAGAGAAAACAATCTCATTGCTATTAAAAAAGTAGCTGCGGACATATCTAGAATGATTGTTTGATAAGCTGTCGTCGCTTATCAGCCAATTGATAATGGCTAATATCTAGGCTTTCTACCCACCGTGGCTCCGCCTCCAAGTCTATAACGTAGGTAAACTGATGTCCGCTAATGACATTCGACGGTGCATCTTCGTCGATGCACAGCTTATTGTGCGGGCAGGGCACGCGACGTAGGAAGTCCCGTTTACCCTGGGGATTGCAATCCGGATCGTAGACAACGTGCTGCAGGCGTGCGAACATGCGCGAGCAGGCACTTTCCCTATTGCGAAAACTGCGATTGCTGTAGAAGTCGACAAACATGGACTTGTCCAGCACAACGAGCGTGACGGGCGCACTGTATTTGTCCGGAGAGGTCACATTGCCGAATATATAGCCATAGGACTCACGACTGCGCGGAGTGGGCAGATCGGCCTTCTGAAAGCCAAATTTGATGAGGAACTGAAAAAAGTCGGCCGTGTGGAACTCGCCGCTGATGTGTGTCGTCGACGCCGGCGGTGTGTGCAGCGCAAGCATCACCAATAGCACCAGCCATTGTATGTTATGGGAGGCGGGGGGTGGTACTGCTGCTGCTGCTGCTGCTTGTGGTGTAGCTGATAATGATGCTGCGTACATTGCAGACCTTATCACTGTTTTTGTTTTTATGCTGCCAGCGTTGCGAGCGAGTGTTGCTTTTTCATCAGCTGCTGTCGTGGCACCTGAAGTGCAATTACACTGCCAAGGTGGCGCACTTTTGTGCATTCTGTGCGAATTTGTTAGCTAGTTTTGTTTGTGGAAACTTCCACTTTGCTCAGTTTTGCTCTGTTTGTCTTCTTCTTTGTCAATTGTTTCGCGAAAGTGGACAGCACGCCAACATGTTAAGTTGTGGCCACCCAGAAAAACATAACATTGGCGAAAATGTTAACGGCAACGCGGACGCTTTCAAGACATTGGCTTTTAATTTGATATATCGAATTATGTATATTATAAAAAAATTGTTGTATATTACAATTTAACTGTGTAGATTTGATTAGTTTCGTATAAATGTACGTAATTGATTAGTTGAGGCACACAATTTAAATTAATAGATCCATAACA